ATTAATTTTGCTGAGCTAATAACCAATATGTGAGAACTGCTGATGGAAACAAAACTGTCCTTTAAAACTACACCAACATTACAGGTTGAGAAATACAAGGAAAATTTTATACACATAAAATTTATAACATATATATGATTTTTTAATATATATTTATATTTTATATAGGAATTTAGATATATACATTGTATATAAATGTATATTTTTACATATATAAATGCAAGTTCTGTGCAAAAAAACCGCCTCCAACGACTGAGTCCGGGAGCCAGAAAAAAGCCAGTTCCAGGTAATTCTGCACATATTTAAGTACTTTACATGAGAAGCCCTTTGAGCAATAAAACCTCCACTCTCACAAAATCAACCTGGATATGGAGCTCTTCATGGGCACATGAAGAAATTAACCCCAAATCAAATACCCATCATTGCAGGGGCGTTAGAACTATACAACCTTTGGGGGGGTCCCTTCCAACCCAAGCTATTTTATGCTGAGGAAACAAGGGATTCTACAGAGCCCCTACTGCAGGAATGAAGCTGATAAACTGAATGTCATGCACACGCTTACTTGGGCATAGTGCTGCAAAAAACTGTCTTTTTATTGCTAAAAAAGTACTCATTTTCTTCTGAGGTACAAGATATTATCAGCCTGAGCCACCTTCCCTCTGGTTTTCCTACACCCAACTTGAATTTCCAAAGGAAAACACAAGTATTTTAGAAAATAAAGAACAGCCAAGTCTATTAGTAAATATGTATTATAGCTAAATTTGGGTGTATTTTACACATTATCACACCCTCCAGCTTTAAAATCATTTCCCACCCCAAGCAGAAAAAAGTTAGAATACGTACAAATAGGGAAAAGAAAACACATTCTCTCTTTGCTTTCTGCAATAGTTGTCCCTTCAAGTAAAGCCTCCCCATTTATACCCCCTCCATCCCTTCTGATTGCCATATATGACAAGATACGGAACTAGATGATCTTAAGGTCCTTTGCACCCTAACGATTCTATGATTCCCGCAAAGAATAAAAGCAAGGAGGTTGCTGCACTGCAGGGAACTGCCACATGGGGGATTCCAAACTGATGGGAACAACATAGGAAGTCCAGCGAGGGGAGATCACGACATGGAAAAGGTTGAAAATACAATGTTTAATCTTAAAATGACAGGTCAAACTATACACATTTATAGAGATGTTCTATGTATTTCTTACTGGCTTCCTGCTCTAGAAAGCTACACTGCGTTTTGTTGCTGCCTAAAGCTTGGGTTTATTTCTGCATTGCTTCTAGCAGTATAAAACTACAAAAAAAAAACAAAAAAGCAACTTAAACTATTTTCAATATTGGAAGCTTTTCCATTTTGCAGAAATATCAAGTCGAACCCAAAAATCATACAGGCTGAGAGAGCTGGGCTGGGGCAGCCTGGAGAAGAGAAGGCTCCTGAAGGGGAGACCTTAGAGCAGCTCCAGTGCTTAAAGGGGCTGCAGGAAAGCTGGAGAGGGGCTTGGGACAAGGGCCTGTAGGGACAGGCCAAGGGGAATGGCTTGAACCTGCCCGAGGGGAGACTGAGATGAGCTCTTAGGCAGAAGCTCTTCCCTGTGAGGGTGCTGAGGCGCTGGCACAGGGTGCCCAGAGAAGCTGTGGCTGCCCCATCCCTGGCAGTGTTCAAGGGCAGGTTGGACACAGGGGCTTGGAGCAAGCTGCTCTAGTGGAAGGGGTCCCTGCCCGTGGCAGGGGTTGGAACTGGAGGAGCTTTAAGGTCCCTTCCACTACAAACCAGCCTGGGATTCTATTAAATACACCCCCTTACGCACAAATTTATGCATGCACTCATTTCAAATTCATATTTCACACTTCCTATTTTCAGCATTATTCTAAGAACTCACACATATTCCCACCTAGAGCAGTGACTCTGACGTCTAAACTATATTTGAGAGATGTTGTTCTTTAAGCAAATGAAAAATGGTTTCACTACACTGCTCGGGAATACGGGGCAGGAAGGACAAACAGCTTTATTCCATAAGGCCAAGCTGGAAGGAGTCTAGTGTGACATGGTTTAGTGTGAGGCATTCCTGCCCATGGCAGGGGGTTGGAACTGGATATTCTTAAGGTCCTTTCCAACCCAAACAGATTCTGTAACTGCCATTACTAACAGTTATTTGGGTACTAACTGGTAATTCTACTACCAATTCCTTTAACTTTCACTACAGTATCTCACAAAGCAAAAGACCATCCAATAAAAGAAAAGGCAATGTTATGAACATTCATTATACAGGTAAGCAATCGCACACATTGAGGAAGATGTGTTACATTGCCTTGTAAGTCCCCTTCACTTTCCTCAACGGAACTGTCTTTGCTCTGAAGGAGCGCAAGTGCAATCATAGAATGGAAAGGACCTTAAGATCAAGTTCCAACCCACCTGCATGGGCAGGGACACCTTGCTCTAAACCATGTCACCCAAGGCCTTGTCCAACCTGGCCTTGAACACCGCGAGGGATGGAGCATTCACAACCTCCCTGGGCAACCCATTCCAGTGCCTCACCACCCTAACAGGAAAGAATTTCCTCCTTATATCCAGTCTAAACTTCCTCTGTTTAAGTTTGACCCAATACCCCTTGTCCTATCACTACAGTCCCTAATGAAGAGTTCCTCTCAAGCATCCCTATAGGCCCCCTTCAGATACTGGAAGGCTGCTATGAGGTCTCCACGCAGCTTCTCTTCTCCAGGCTGAACAGCCCCAACTTTCTCAGCCTATCTTCATATGAGAGGTGCTCCAGTCCCCTGATCATCCTCGTGGCCTCCTCTGGACTTGTTCCAACAGATCCATGTCCTTTTTATGTTGAGGACACCAGAACTGCACACAATACTCCAAGTGAGGTCTCACAAGAGCAGAATAAAGGGGCAGGATCACCTCCTTCGACCTGCTGGTCACACTCCTTTTGATGCAGCCCAGGATACGGTTGCTTTCTGGGCTGCAAGCGCACACTGAAGCTGGCTCATGTTCATTTTCTCATCGACCAGCACCCCCAAGTCCTTCTCCTCAGGGCTGCTCTGAATCTCTTCTCTGCCCAGCCTGTAGCTGTGCCTGGGATTGCTCCCACCCAGGTGTAGGACCTTGCACTTGGCATGGTTAAACTTCATGAGGTTGGCATCAGCCCACCTCACAAGCGTGTCAAGGTCCCTCTGGATGGCATTCCTTCCCTCCAGCGTATCAACCGAACCACACAGCTTGGTGTCATCGGCAAACTTGTCCCATCCCTTGTTCTTGGGAGCAGAGCCCAGCCCCTCCTGGCTCCATCCTCCTGTCAGGCAGTTGGAGGCAGCCATCAGGTCCCCCCTGAGCCTTCTCTTCTCCACACTGAACCCCCCAGGTCCCTCTGCCCTTCCCCATCACCCTTGTGCTCCAGGCCCTGCACCTGCTCCGTGCCCTTCTCTTGCCTCGCTGCACCACCTCAATGTCTTTCTTGTAGTGAGGGAACAAAAGTGAGCACAGGATTTCAGGTACAGCCTGACTTTCCGGCTTGCATTTTATTCATACCCATAAACAATCCTATTGTCACCAGCATCAAGCTCTAGGCAATCAGATAACTCCCTAAGTTGTGGGGCTACCCTACCATCTCTCCCCCTTGCCTGTGACTTCTGAAGGGGTTTATAACCATCCATGGCAGCTCTCCTGTTTACCAGTTATCCCACCACATTTCTATGGTGGCAACCATGCCATAGTTTTCCTGTTGCACAATGGCTTCCAGCTCCTCCTGTTTGCTAGCCACGCTGCGTGCACTGGTGAAGATGTACTTCAGCTGGGTTATAGATCCAGCCACCTTTTACGGGGAGAAGCCCTAATTCCTACATGACCATTTTAAGGTGTTAGAAACCATGGAAGCACATCAGTAATCCTTCTGTCTTTGCTGCCCACGTGGATCTCCATCCCCTACCATCACTAAGACAGCAGATTAAAGAGCACTGCTAGCACACGGTCCCTCAGACATCAGTGTGCTACCCCCAGGCTTATCTGTAGTAACAACCTAGCATTTGGGGACACAGTGTAAGAACTACCTCCTGGATTTAGAAACTCATTTCACCCAGCACATCATTCACCCAGTAAAGAGAAACCTCTATTTCCCCCCAGTCAGTGTACTTCAGTATTGCATCAATGATGACAAAGTGAGAAGCTCAAATATAGACACTCATATACACTAAAGCAGACCACGTGAAACCACATTCATACGCTTCAAAACAAGACTCCTACTGAGTGAGTAGGCGTTGTGAGAAAAGCAGCTCATTTCCTACTACGCGTGGAGTCACAAGCACCAGCTGAAGGTTTGAAAAGCACAAAATCCCCTTTGAATTACAAGAAAAAAGCTTTCAGATTAGAAATAATTTCCAAGAAAATTGTTTTGGTGTAGAAATACAAAGTGTCTTCAATTTGCTTTTCAACAGACCTTTGCTGGTGAGGTGGAGGCTTCTAAGAAAAACAGGCTTGGCATCAACCAGCTGCATGTCTCCTGTAGCATGTTCTCACCAAGATAAAGAAACCTGCTGCTGCCCTACATGGACCATCCCCATCAAGTGATACAGCTAAGGAGGAAGGAGAGAAAGCAGTCGAAGGGGACATCGGTTCAGAGGTCACCTCTATTACAGCAGCTTGACTGGCCAGCAGGCAAGCATCATAGAATCATAGAACAGTTAGGGTTGGAAAGGACCTTAAGATCATCAAGTTCCAACCCCCTGCCATGGGCAGGGACACCTCGCTCTAAACCATATTACCCAAGGCCTCGTCCAACGTAGCCTTGAACACTGCCAGGGATGGAGCATTCACAACCTCCCTGGACAACCCATTCCATTGCCTCACTACCCTAACAGGAAAGAATTTCCTCCTTATATCCAATTTAAACTTCCCCTGTTTAAGTTTTAATCCATTACCCCTTGTCCTACCACTACAGTCCCTAATGAAGAGTCCCTCCCCAGCATCCCTATAGGCCCCCTTCAGATACTGGAAGCTGCTCTGAGGTCTCCACGCAGTCTTCTCTTCTCCAGGCTGAGCAGCCCCAACTTTCTCAGCCGATCTTCATATGGGAGGTGCTCCAGTCCCCTGATCATTCTCGTGGCCCTCCATGAAGTACAAGACTTCGTAAGGCAGGACTGACAGGTCCAAATAAGGCTGGGCCATCACTTGTAGTCTTTAGTAAAGAACTGGGCATCCCCAGGAGGGACAAAAGAGGGAAAAGCCACTGATAGAACAAAGAGAGACTACAGAAAGAGAACCAAATCAGTCTATTCAAAACACTACAAAAAAAAAAAAAGCTTGTATAAGGCTACTAAGACAATGTTTGTTATTATTTATTCAATGGACTAATAAATCCATGCATCCTTTGGGCTTCTGCCACCACATCACCCATCTGCATATCAACCCTTCATTTTCTTGAACACCTCAAGCCAGAGAACAGTTTTTTTGAGGGGACTTCACTTTTCAGTTCCTCTGATGCAACCTCAGCTTGCAGCTGCTTCTTCCACCATGATCTAATCACAGAATCATAAAACAGGGTTGGAAAGGATCTTAAGATCAACCAGATCCAAACCCCTGCCATGGGGAACACCTCACACTAGACCATGTTGCCCAAGGTTCTTTCCAACCTGCCCTTGAACACTGCAGGGATGGAGCATTCACAACTTCTCTGGGCACCCTATGCCAGTGCCTCAGCACCCTCACAGTAAAGAGCTTCTTCTGTATATCTAACCTGAACTCCCCCTGTTTCAGTTTAAACCCATCACCTTTTGTCCTATCATGTGCTGCTCTGGCTGTTTCCACTAACTCAAAGTTAAGAATTTGGTGGCTCCACAACAACCCTGCTCAGTATAGTGCTTCCACACAGAGCTGGTCCCAAATACGTATCAACTGCTAAATCAGATCAGACATAACACAAAAATATGTTACCCAGTGCACTATACTAAAAGCAATTACTACTCCTAGATATAGTTAAGTCCCTGACTAGAAGTCATTAAAGCTCCACACAAAGCTGCAGACCATAATGGACATTAATTCAATGTCCTCTATTCTGAAAGCACTATTTGCCCTGCCTGACTAAACTCATATGGCTGATTCATTTTAGGCTGAACTTACCCTGGTCTTCCTCCTTCTGCTCTGTCTAGCACTACGTCATCTTGGTACACCGAATTTTAACAATACCAGTTCTGTATTTTTCCTCATTTAACAGCAAAATTTCACATAGATCTTCACACCATAAATTGCTGCTGCGTTCTAGCACATCAAAAAAATATATTGCTGTGAATAGTGTGAGATAATATACTTAATTATATATTGAACTTGTAAAAGCCCTTTGAGAGCCCCCAAGATAGAATTCATTCTATGGAAGCTCTCTTTATTAATAAAAGTACTTAGACCAATTACTTTGAACTTCTACAGACAGTGCCTTATTTCAAACTATTTTAATCAATCCTCACAAAATCTCTTGGCAACAGCATACAGGAAGTGTACAGAGGCAAAGGGAGCCGTGGTCTTTCAGTCAAGCTACCAATTCTTTCTGGTTTATTATTCACTTTGACCATGCGTTTTGATTAATTCAACAAAATAAAACCAATGTGGCTTGTCAGCCTCCAAGTCCTCCTTTATTAAAGGAATTATTATATCCAGCAATCTGGAGGATGCTCAGAGGCTGGAGCACTTCCCTTATGGAGACAGGCTGAGAACACTGTGGCTGTTCAGCCTGGAGAAGAGAAGCTGCGTGGAGACCTCAGAGCAGCTTCCAGTGTCTGAAGGGGGCTACAGGGATGCTGGAGAGGGGCTCTTCATCAGGGACTGCAGTGATAGGACAAGGAGTGATGGGTTGAGACTGAAACAGGGGAAGTTCAGGTTGGAGATTAGGCAGAAGTTCTTCCCTGGGAGGATGCTGAGGCGCTGGCACAGGGTGCCCAGAGAAGTGATGAATGCCCCATCCCTGGCAGTGTTCAAGGCCAGGCTTTACAGAGCCTTGGGCAGCATGGTCTAGTGGAAGATGTCCCTGCTCATGGAAGGCGGGTTAGATCTGGATGATCTTAAGGTCCTTTCCAACCCAAACCATTCTATGATTCTATGAACATAAGAGAGGCTCACACAATTTTCCATCCTTTACTACTCACAAAGTAACTAATCATTCAAAGAGATTTAAATTCATTTGGGTCAAACAAGACTCAACATCATCTTCAAGTCCAGCTGCTCCCACTGAACAGGCTACTGATCCCTCTGCCATGCTTATGGAGTTGTTCCTGTGGATCTAGTGCTCTTTCAGCAAAGAGATGTTGCCCAAAGTAAAATTAGAGAAGTTGACATGAATTGCTGCTAGGCCAATTGGTGAGGGACACTCACCTCTACTAAGGTGAGGAGCTCCTGGAGCCTTTAACTTATTTCCACTACTATTACTGTAAGATGCTCCTCAAAGAGACTGGAGTCTGTCCAGGCAGTAAATGATAGGCATGAGACACTGACTGACTTTCCACTTCAGCTTCAGTCCTCGGTGCTCATTGAAGTTATGTGCAATGGCATATGATTTATATTCTGTGGGATTATTAATATATTTGACAGACGAAATTACTGATGCCTTCAAAGCATGAAGCCATTTCTTCAAGAGAACTTTAATTATTACATATCAAAAAATTGAAAATGGCTTTATTTTACAAGCATTAATTTTATCATCTACGATCTAGTGAAAATTGCCACGGAATTATGGGTTACTACCAGTTCTACTACATCTCTGAACCCAAATATATGCTTGAAGACAATGCACACCACCCAGTTGTTTCAAACTGGCAATTTATGTTTGGTTAAACAGTCTGATGGATGTTAACCAAGAAAACAGGAATTGCTCAGGCATAGCTGCTGTTACTGGTGTTACTTGTTTGGGAGCTCTGTGATTTAGTGAAATCACCAGCAATTGTTTTGTAGGTAATTAAAGCATAAAGCCAAGACCTGTGATTTTCAGCCTTTTGAAAGCAATAATCATTAGAATCCCCAGCCCCATTTAAATGCTTCCCATCTAGGATCACCAGCATCATTTCTGTTATCATTCATTCCCTTTGTATGGCTGTTATTAGTGGCTTTATCCAAATTATACCCGCTGTCTGCTATTTTACTGAATACTCACTACAAAAGTCCATCTCCAACAGATCTGGATCCATTTCTTACTCATGAGAGGGGGGCTGAATTTTAGCATAACTCTTGATTCATCCCAAGCCAGACTTCCATTAGCATACAAATCCGTATTTGAAGTCAAATACAACTTGAAAGACTGGACCGTTGTTTTCTTCCCATTTGTTAAACCAAAGACTGCATTATACAAATTTCACAATTCCCCTAAGTGCCTTGAAAATTACAACCATTTTAGTCCATGATTCACTTTCATGCAGACTCTGACTGCATGCAATTTCCCCCCCTTCCCCATCTCAATTATATCTTAATATTATGGGGGCTGAAATGCATTAAATAAATCATATTTCATAGCAAAGCAATAATACTTACATGCATTTCAGAAGAAATTGTCCTGCATTAGAAATGTATTTATAATGTCATTACCTTATTTTCCACATTGACTCAAGTATGAGGCAGCAGCAACTGCTCCAAGCTACGGATGGAAGCTTTTAGCAAACCTTATGTTTATTCTGCTGCTGGTAATTAGCTGGTTTAGTTAATATAATCCAACATTTACAAACAGCAATTTATCCAATATAGAAACTCGCTCCTGTAATTAGTGAAACATTGTTCTTGATTAAGATTTAATATGCTGGTTGCTGTTGCTGCAATGTACTACATAAAGGGAACGATCGCTAATTTGTCAGAGGACAGTTCCTAGTCAAAGTAATCTCCTGGCACAGCATCAGGAATTTCATTCTCTCTCAACTCTTTTCTGCATGATTTTATCCCATTTGCAAAGTTCCAAATGTTTTAAAGAGAGGGTAATGACAAAAGGAAACGTAAGAGAGAACTACACACCCTCAAAGAGGCCAGAACTGCTTGATTATTCTTTTATCGCAAGACAAGCTTAAGGTGATGCTTAAATTGCCAAGACCTATTAATGCTATTCAAAAATATTTTGAAGAACACACCAAAAAAAAAAAAAAAAAAGGAATGAAATCTATGCCACCATTTGAAAGTCAACACTAAATACGCTAAAATAGCATTAAACTGAAGTAGCAATTGTTCTATCAGTTGTAACAGTGGAGTATCAGGGGCTGCTTTTTGTGTAGGAGAATAAAGAAGAACTGATGGTCAGAAAGAAGATTCTTTGTGAAAACATTTCAGCTCATGGCAGAAAACTTTCCATTTCAATTAGAAGTTTAAGGCCTATACCAAATCCTGAACTGTAATTTCTACTAACAGCACTCTCTGGATACAGGCTTAACTCCAGCAGTGTTACTGAAAGAGAAAGAGGAGTCCAAGACTCTTCTAGTGAATCACTCATCTGAATAGACTGTTACCTGCTAGGAATAGCACATTTGATACTTGCATTATCAAAAGCAAATGAGGCAACTCGGAGTGAAGCACCATTTCAGCTATTTAGAGTTTCAGGACATGTAGCACGTTCCCGTAAAATACACAAGGAACGTGCTCAGAAGCAGCAAACTCTATGCAAGATAAATATTAATGTCTGAATAGAGAGCTGGTTATCTACAAGTCTGAAAATCAGAGCCAAACCCAACTTTAAAACTCCCTGGTTTAAAGATGATGTAGCCTAAAAGATCATTTTTATCGCTGAGGGATTTCAATGGTTTACAATGATCATTAAGCTAAAGGGGAAGTATGAAATTTTCACTAACAAGCCAAAGGATATATTTAAGAACACCAAACAGCAAGAAAACCTTTAAGTCTGACTGAGGAAATATATGCATTATCTACCAGTTTAGTATAAACTGTGGGGTAATAATGAATATTCCAGTCCAGGGATACAGACATCCCCATAACATTACATGAGGTGCTTACACCCTTTTGCCAATGACAGAAATAACCCAGATAAGCTTCTTAGAGTAAATAAACTGAACAAAGCTACATATATTTTCAAGCAATTCTTAGATACCTGTGGAATTCAGAGCAAGACCCAAGGACTCACTTTTAAATGTATTCCTATAATTAACCCGGTTACATACATATAATGACCAAGGGAATAGTGGAGGAACAGGGTTTCAGTTACAGAGAAAGTCAGGAGCACTATTATATTCATTAAAAGGCTCCTAAAATGACTGGCTTATCTTTGCTACAGAACAGAGCAAGCAGAGCATAAATTATTTATGATGTGTAACAGTTTAATGGAGTATAAAATAGCTTTTTTTCTTCTCAGTAGTAGTACAAGTTCTGTGTTTTGTTGTCAGCTCCACTCTCGGCACTGCACTCTACCCATCCCCAATTATGACATGCAACTACTTTTCAATTGTTCTGTATAAACTCTAACTGGAAGGCATTATTTATACCACCTATTTAGTTTTTTACTTCAAGTGCTATCACAGTATCCTACCGAGAACTGTTGAACTGCATGAAATTGAAGTAAATCACATCACAGGACTGCTGTTAGCTCCTTTAGAAAGTTGAGGAAGTCCTTATAGCGAAAACTGCAGACAACCTGACACTGACATCCAAATCACCCTTGCGGGAAGATGCACTTAGATCAACTTTCATTCCCCCTGTGGCCACAATCACTCACTCCATAATCTGACGGAACATGCTCCAATCTCAGGGAACGTGTGTGAATAGAGATTTGTGATTTCCCAGGGGACCAAAGGGATTTTAACAGTAAATAGTTAAAAGCTTAAAAAAACAGAACTACAGAATGTACATCACAAAGGAGAAACCAAACAACTACAAAACTGCTAACTCTCACCAATTCTTCACAAATGATTTACAAACAAGTGTGTTCTTATATGGACTCACAGAATGGTTTGGGTTGGAAGTGAGCTTAAAGCTCAACCAGCTCCAACCCCTGCCACGGGCAGGGACACCTTCCACTGGAGCAGCTTGCCCCAAGCCCCTGTGTCCAACCTGGCCTTGAACACTGCCAGGGATGGGGCAGCCACAGCTTCTCTGGGCACCCTGTGCCAGCGCCTCAGCACCCTCACAGGGAAGAGCTTCTGCCTAAGAGCTCATCTCAGTCTCCCCTCTGGCAGGTTCAAGCCATTCTCCCTGTCCTATCATCACAGTGTCTTGTCAAAAGCCCCTCTCCAGGTTTATTCATTGTAACTCATTTTCATAGAATCATAGAATCATAGAATAGTTAGGGTTGGAAAGGACCTTGAGATCATCAAGTTCCAACCCCCTGCCATGGGCAGGGACACCTCACACTAAACCATATCACCCAAGCCCTCGTCCAGCCTGGCCTTGAACACTGCCAGGGATGGAGCATTCACAACCTCCCTGGGCAACCCATTCCAGTGCCTCACCACCCTAACAGGAAAGGATTTCCTCCTTATATCCAATCTAAACTTCCCCCGTTTCAGTTTGAACCCCTTACACCTTGTCCTGTCACTGCAGTGCCTAATGAAGAGTCCCTCCCCAGCATCCCTATAGGCCCCCTTCAGATACTGGAAGGCTGCTACGAGGTCTCCACGCAGCCTTCTCTTCTCCAGGCTGAACAGCCCCAACTTTCTCAGCCGATCTTCATACAGGAGGTGCTTCAGTCCCCTGATCATCCTCGCGGCCTCCTCTGGACTTGTTCCAACAGATCCATGTCCTTTTTATGTTGAGGACACCAGAACTGCACACAATACTCCAAGTGAGGTCTCACGAGAGCAGAGTAGAGGGGCAGGATCACCTCCTTCGACCTGCTGGTCACGCTCCTTTTGATGCAGCCCAGGATACGGTTGCTTTCTGGGCTGCAAGCGCACACTGAAGCCGGCTCATGTTCATTTTCTCATGGACCAGCACCCCCAAGTCCTTCTCCTCAGGGCTGCTCTGAATCTCTTCTCTGCCCAGCCTGTAGCTGTGTCTGGGATTGCTCCGACCCAGGTGTAGGACCTTGCACTTGGCATGGTTAAACTTCATGAGGTTGGCATCAGCCCACCTCACAAGCGTGTCAAGGTCCCTCTGGATGGCATTCCTTCCCTCCAGCGGATCAACCGAACCACACAGCTTGGTGTCATCGGCAAACTTGCTGAGGGCGCACTCAATCCCACTGTCCATGTCAGCGACGAAGATGTTAAACAGGACCAGTCCCAACAAACATCCCTGAGGGACACCACTCGTTACTGGTCTCCAGCCGGACATTGAGCCATTGACCACAACTCTTTGTGTGCGGCCACCCAGCCAGTTTTCTCATATATTATCCAATTCTTTCTATTTCTGATTTATTATAACCTTTTGTGACATGGATGTGGGCACCACTACAATATTTCTATGGGTTGGATGCACATCACCTTCATTGATTAAGATGTCTACACCCAATGAGTGAACCGCATTTCAGCTACAGCCCCTCAAGCCCACACAGTCATACACAGAAAAATGGACACTTCAACAAGATCATCTACTTCATCATAAAGTTGATACCTGAAACAGATCAGAATCACATCCTAAAATCACCTATTTCTCTGCCATTAGAAAGAGATCTTAGGGTGAAAAGTTCTGGCACAGTTGATTAGACCTGTAACTACCTGAAAACGTGGGCAGGAAAATGTACCTCTGCTTGCAATTGACTGCACAGCAATGCTGTGGGTAAGACCTTACAGCAAGGTCTCTATGCAGTAGATAATCTAAATACTAGGCTTTTAAGGCAGCATAGGCAGGAGATTCCCCTCATTAGATCTGTTCATCCTCTGCATAATTAACCATCACACACTTGAAAGCAAACCTGAACTGACACTAAAGCTTACTCTGTGAATGAACCCATGTATTTTTCCTCCACTTTCTTGATCAGACTTGCAGCGTCAGCTATTGGGAAAAGCAGCAGTTATTTCCTTACTGTTCCACCACCTCTACAAAAGCCTTGTGTCAACCTCTGCACAAATAAAATTACTTTCCATTCATTTTCCACTCCACAAAGCCCCAGGCTATGGAGTGGCAGAACCAAGAAAAGAGTTAAGGATGCTACACGCTTCATCTCCAGCTTTTCTGAGGGCCTAAGCTAAATTCATTTCATCCACGACAAAAAAAAGAAAGAAAACCCTTCACTAACAATAAAGAATATTTCCTTTTGTTCTGCTGAGAAGTTTGAGCATTCCCACAGTTTCCAAGGAATCTGATAGCTGCCGGGAGAGCGGTGCCCACCACATCGATTTCAATGCGCCTCTTCTGTCTATCCCCAATAAAATCAAATTACACTTCACCACGGCTGCAAGCCTTTGGGAGAAAAAACAGCAGCAAAAGAAACCACAAAAGGACAAACACTGATCAGATTCAATGCATTTTTGTCAAATCCTGGGAACAGTGTTCTGTGGTGATATATTATTATATATTAGTATATTATTAATATATTAGTAGCAATAGTGTTCGGCATCTCCCTCCCTCCAACTGCCTGACAGGAGGATGGAGCCAGGAGGGGCTGGGCTCTGCTCCCAAGGAACAAGGGATGGGACAAGAGGAAATGGCCTCAAGCTGCACCAGGGCAGGTTTAGATGGAGCTGAGGAACAATTCCTGCCCCAGAGGGTGCTCAGGCATTGGAACAGGCTGCCCAGGGCAGGGCTGCAGTCACCGTCCCTGCAAGTGCTCACACACCTCAGTGACATGAGCCTTGGTGGCTTGGTGGTTCTTTTGCAGAGAAAGAAAGCTGAAACTAGAAGACAAATAACTCAAATGTATGGACATAAACGAAGAACGGACCGAGGAAGGGCAGGAGGAAGCTACAAGGTTTGGCAGAGGTGGAAAGAGGCAGAAGATTTAAGAAATGGGGTACTGGGAAAAGTCTAATAGAACCATATGTCTAAGAAAATCAGAACAGGATTTGGAAAGGAAGCACACACATCAAAAAAGAATAAAACTAAACCCCAAATATATTCCTATACAAAACATGGATTGACTCAGAATTCCCAACTGTCAAAACTGTTTGTTTTCAGGATAACGTGTAAAGCTTACAGAAGGCATGACAAGATTAACATCCTGGGTTTCTACACTAGTTAGCATGGAGTAACAGTAATAATGCTGTCATCAGGATCTAAAATCTTACATGAACTTAAACATCTTTCTTTTCATAGGACATTGGAAAGATGAAGAGGAGAAGGAAGAATATTTGGTATTTTAAATTGACAAAACATCTGTCAAATACGCTATACCAATAGTAAGATAGCAACAACATCATTTCAGAAGTTATTTTACCTGATATCTCTTATCTGTCGAACTTCAGCTCCAAACCCAGTTTCTGCAATCTTTAAATCCAATATATTTATCACCTTTACACTTTCTCCGTCACCAACCTGTCAGCACTCTCTGAACAGATGATTTTACATAGCTTTTGCCATTATATTCCACAGCCAATGGATGCTACAGGCCTCTAAAATGAGACATACAAATGCAAATTAAGTATTAAATGAAAAAAACCATTTACAGTGCTCTCAGATCAGTTAATGCTTTATATCCCATCCCTACAATGCAAGTCAAGGGTACAGAAATAAAGACCAACACAATCAAATTACTTCACCAGGAGCAGGTACCCAACTGGAAATGACTAGGGCCTTATTTTTTAGGATATATATGCAATTATATCTAATCTCTAAAAATAACCACCTCTAGGGAGACCTTACAAGCTTAATACTCCTAACAGACTGATAGACATACTTGTGGAAAGCCAACAGTGCTGTCACACACACACACAAATAGACTGTGTGCTAGTACTACAGAAGTCAAGCAGGCAGAAGTTATCATGTGGCTGAGCACACTGCAGCCAGCAATTCAAAGTGGGCAATAATGACAATACAAACTCATAACATCCACTCCAACAACCAGTTAGCCACTGTTCATAAAAGGGTGAAGGTTTTCCAGCATCTGCTTCGTCCAGTAAAATATCACTGGAAATGCTGCACAGTATTAGTGGATCAATGCATTTCAGACTTGTCAGGATACTTCATGCTCATCTTCCAGTTAAGCATCTCTTACTCCTCAATGTATCTACTCCCCTATTAGACCACAGCTGACCACCAAAAAACCCCGAATCAGCAAAATAAGGACATAAAATGTTTGATACTTTGATTCTTCATGGGTTGTGACCCCACGTGAAGGCAGACACACACCCTATCACACTGACGCACAGCAATTACATGGTCACCCTCTTTCCTTGGTACAAACTACTTGACTACATTTCCACTTGATGGATCTTGACCACTGGCTTTCTACTGGAGTGCTGCAAGAAGATGAAGTTACTCTTCTACATCAGCTTATTTTTGCCATAAGCCTCCAAAACTAACAAGAATAAGGAAATAAAACTGGAAAACAAAGTAGGCTAGCAAGAAAAGCTATCTCAAATAAATGAAGGTTTGCCTTAGAAAACCTTCTTTAAGGTGAAATGTCTTCATATAAAAATTCAAAATGAATTTTTAAGACATAATAGATGGCAAAGGAAAACTACTGGCATTATTTTCCTGCTGTACAAGAACTCACTTGCAGGTAGCATGTTCAAAGAATAATTTTCAAGTTCAGTATCTTCTTCCAACATCATTACTTTCAAAAGAAATAACTATGGGATGCTTTTCTTCTCATGTTCAAACAGGCAGATAAAAGTGAGGAGGAAAATTAAACTATTAAACGAGTTATTACAAGGTAAAACAAAGATGCAACTGACCCACTTATCTGAGAGTACTTAGAAGACACCATTACTAAGAGAGAAATAGTATCTACTTATTATACTTCCTTCCAACACTCCTCTTCCTTCTTCAGAAGCATTAAAAAACTGACTGATGTTCTACAGAAGTAATTCTCTTAGCACATGCACTAAACCATCGCTGTGGGTCTGCTGTCATGACCTGACTATGTGGTGGCCCTTCAATTTCATGCTACAAATGACTCTGCTGTAACTGCATATAGTCATACCCATATACTGCATACTGTAATTTGCTTCCCTCTGAGAAAACATTGGAGAAGTTTTTTGGCTATTCATATAACAACCACCCAGCAAAACAGTGCAGAAAGCTCCTTCTTGGGTTATTCAAAGGCTTTAAGATAGGCACATGGTAGGAAATGGACTTGAAGTCAACCTGTATTTACCTGTAAAACTACTTTAACAATCTTCACCTCACTGACACCCTTCTTGTGCACATACTCCACCACTGCACTCAGCCAAAACCATTCACCTACACCTAAAACTCTTCTCTCGGTGTCATAGCTTCTTTCTTTTATGTATGCTAAAGCAGAAATGACTTTGAAATGCAACCATAAAGGGATGCTAATGACTGAATACTGACAGCTGCTGCAGAAACAAGCCTGTTGGCTCAGGCATAGCACCATTACCTATCTGTCATAAAGTACTCAGGACTTGCTCATTTATTACTGCTGCATAGCCCAAGGGGGAGAAAGAGGGAACAGCAAGAGTTTCTTTCTCCGAAGCAAAATCATAAGCCACTTACTTCTCCTAATGTCACGATCCCCACTGTTTATCTGCAGGATAATTAGGAAAATGAGAAATAATGATAGTTTTTTTATGTATTTACAAACGTGATATGAATTCAACCATCACACAAGACAATAGAAACAGGCTGGTGGATCTGCCAAGCTCCCAACTGGATTGTATCACCCATATTTACCAAGTAGCAGTGACACAAGCAAATGGTATCAGCTTCTTCTGCTGCAACTTCTCAAAAATGAAAGCTGACAAACTTAGAATCATAGAATAGTTAGGGTTGGAAAGGACCTTAAGACCATCAAGTTCCAACCCCCCTGCCATGGGCAGGGACACCTCGCTCTAAACCATATCACTCAAGGCCTTGTCCAACCTGGCCTTGAACACTGCCAGGGATGAAGCATTCACAACCTCCCTGGGCAACCCATTCCAGTGCCTCCAACCCATTTCCACCCTAACAGGAAAGAATTTCCTCCTTATATCCAATCTAAACTTCCCCTGTTTAAACTTCTCCCATTCCTTCCTATAATTTAAACAGCAAAGCTGACAGCTGAAACCAGGTTCTGCTTTCAAAATTGGTTATAAAAAACAAATGTTTTGTAGGTTAAATAATGAAAGGGCCTGTAGGG